ATAAATTAGAGGCCTGCATTCCTGCGGCTGCGGCCAGATTTTTTTCACCGCGGGATTAAATTCCTAAATAAATCGCGATAGCGGTCGGTAACTCTGGTGTAATTTAATAAACGACTTTAGTATTTTGACAAGACAAATAAAATAACATACGGTCGGGTCGGGAAGAAAATTATTCTAAGCGGACAGCGGGTGAACAAAGAGTGAATATATAGCGAGAGCGGATGGGTGTGGAATAGAACCTTGCGGGAGCATGCAGACCTCTAGTATAAATCATCGACACTGCAACTGAGTGGTGCAACATCTAGCGAATCCAAAATAGTTGGAAATTAACAACAATGCTTTTTGGTTTATTTCTAAAGCGTCTTTCTGGCTGTCTGGTGATGTTTCTTCAGCACTCGTCAGCACTTTGTGTTCCAGAACAAACAAAAGTGACATAAAAACGCAACAGGGATATATGTAAATGGAATGCTGTAACCAGCATAACTGTAATAGTAATCTTGATGATTATTTAGTTTACTAAAACAACGTTTTGGCTTTAGGAATTAGATTGAATACTGAATTGAATTATTAGGTGCTAAAAGTATAACTGCTCAGTCTATGACAAATGAGTCAATTACAAAAGAGAACATTGTGTCTCTAGATTTTCTTTTTTTAACCTCTGGAAACACGTCATCATTCTCTGAAAGTGTGAAATGTCTGCGGAAGACCACGTCCTGTGTGAGAATGAGGTTTTGTTCCTGAAAAAAAAAAAAAAACCTTCACTGTGCAGAAAGTGGTTGCCCCTACATTCTGTTGCTGAACTTTATAAATAATAGATGACCAGCAAAAAAAAAATAAAAATAATCCTACTGTTTTTTTTCCGACACTGACCCAAAAAAAAGACATTATAGAGAAACATCATAGAGAGAACTCTGTGTTTACTCCACTTTTAACATTTATATTTAGATTTTTAATTTACCAATTGACTACATTTGTTTAAATTCTATAATAATTTGTTGCATTTTGCAAAATCATAAATATGACATTTTTCAATGCCAGTATACAATGTTTACAGGCCACTTTCTCCTTTAGGGAACTCAACAGCCTCATTTTGACAGAGAAACACACACAGCCAGCTCGTGGCTATTTTGCAGAAACTGTGTAGTTGCACGTCAAGCCCTATTTTCATTGTATTAAACATTGTATCTGCTTACATTTTGCATTGACGTTGTCAAACATCACTGTCAATACCCTGTGTCCTGTTCTGCTACACTCTGCTATCAAATTTCCAAGGATCTGCATCATTACCAAACGTGAAGGTAAACTAAATCCATATACACTATAATACATTTAAATGAAACCAGCTCCAAGAATTTCAGTGAAATAAAACTGCACTCCACACTACAAACCTGTTGAGCTGCATTTGGCCGCTTAACACTGTCCGGAAGCAAGCTTTTTCTTCCTCCTCT